TTGCATGTGATGAATTAATATAAAATGCTGCCTACGTTTATTCTTAACGAAATAATCATAATCATTTTATTTACGACGCCATACACATGAACACGCGTGCGCATGCATGCACACACACACACCCACACACACACACACACACACACAAACCCATATAGATGCATATATGTATATGCGCCTACTCTTCTAACCTTAAATATGGATAAGGGAATGATGTTTGAGCATTCATATAATATATAACAAAAATTGTCTTACCATTTAAAATTTTTCCAAAATTAATTCATTTATGATATTTCAAATAATATGCTTCTGTATGTGTTTGGTGTGTGTGTGTGTGTGTGTGTGTGTGTGTTTGTTTGTGCGTGTGTGTGTGTGTGTGGAATGAAACGTTTTGACAAATAAATGTGGAAATAAAGATCGTTGTAGGACCTTTTATTGAATATTTTGGAAATAGGAAATATCATTTACAATGATATGCTTAGAATATAAATTCTTTATTTCAGATTATCGTTTAAACAATTATACACTTATATTTAATTCTTGGAATCGTAAAAATTAACTAACGTAAGTCTTCCTTGTCAACATATTATATCACGGCTTAAAAGACCATGTAAAATGTCACTTTGTTTATAAAATTGAATTTATTTCATTGGATCCTGTCTCTGAAATCTTTTGTTATTGTTTAACTCGATATAAAGATCTTTCGATGCAATTCACTTCGACCAACAATTTATCATCTCGAACGTTGCTTTTCAAATTTATGTTCTTAATAACTGGCGAGTACACGGTACATTTGGATGGAATTCAAAGTTTGCCGTTGACGAGCAACTCATCGCTGATGAAAAATATTATGGATGATCTAAGGAGCCAGCCCCCCACCCCCCACACACACACTCCCCATAGGTATAATAAAATGTCACGCATAAATCTATCCCCCTATTAACGCATTGGAATGCGCATTCGCCATCGTTCGTACGAGTCGTGTATCTGCGTGTATTCGGAAGTGAAATTTTCAAAACGCAATCCATACTATTCGCTAAAACGTCGTCCGTTAAGGTTAAATATGGAGCGAGATTTTAATTGTATATAACTGACCATAATAAGCAAGTTAAGCCACGGAATTTCACAGATTCCAGACTTCCGGCTTCGTCCTCAAAACACGAATTCCGTCGGAATCCCAAGATTTATCAGCACTTATCGTAGCCCCAATTCGCCGACAAAGCAAATAAAAAACAAGAGAAGCAATGTCCCCCCTTCAAGTTGGTACAAACCGAAGGTGCGACCATCTGCGCGGGGGGAGAAATAAGGTGTGAAGTTTCAGCGGGCGGAGCAAGGGGTGAGGTGGTGTGGTGTTGGACGATCTGCGGTAAGGTGAGGGTGAGACAGGGATGGCGGCGGGGGCCTGCGGCATCCCGCGGTGACCAGCAAACTATGATGGATCGTCGTTTCATCGTCAAATCGAGTGCCGACAATCGGGGGAGAATCCGTGGCCGCGCCCCCCCGCCGAGATAATACAGCCTCTTGCCGTCCCCTTCGCGTAGCTTCGCCGCTACTTTGTCCCCCGTGTGTAACAATATTAATTGGCGCGGCGTTCGCTTATTAAAGACGGAATTTTTGAAAAATAGCCGGATGTGAAATGGAACAGGCTTGGGGTAAGGTGTATTAGCATTGCATTGATAGACGGCGATTTGCCCCTCCGAGTACGAGTGAGAAATGTTCAGGAAGGAATGGGATAGTAATTTAGAGGCGCGCGCGTGTAATAAAAAGGTGTTATGATAGATAGTTTTGAGATATAAAGCCAATTTGGGCAAGCTCTGAAAATTGTATTTTCATGGGATGCAAATTTATTTGCAACTGGACAGGTGAAAATGCATTATAAGTAACAAAAATTGTATCATTAAATGAGAACTAATGACGTATGGATAACACGTTGACTAAAGATGGATAAAATTTGTCAAAACCTTTTCTAGCGAGTATCACTGAACCGTGCTTTTACTCGTTAACTTGTATATAAATCTCCTAATAACTAAAATAGGGAAGCCTACGTGTAATTTATAAAAGAATTTGAAAAATAGGTTAGAGCATTTTTTGTAATAAAATATGGTTATTTGGTATTATTTGTATTACCTATTGCTCCAATTATATATTATTGCAGAAAAATAAAAACAAATGTTACAATAATTATGAGATACTGTAATTATAGAAAATATATTTTAAAAGTTAATGTTTCAATCGTCTCTTTTCACAATAATTTCTTATTCTAGAAGATTTTGTATGAAAAATATTTTCACTCATATTCACTCATATATGCTTAAAACTATTATTTATCGGATTTACGTAAAATTATATATTTATCGGATATACATATATATATATATATATATATACTAAACATATATATACTTATATTTGTATATTATATTTAAATGAATAAAATTTTAGCAACTGTTTTGTAATTATGTATTTACTTATTATTTGCAAATAATGAACGTTGTATTAATGTTTATTTATTTTATTAATAATAAAAATATTAAATAAAAAATATATAAATAATAAAAACATTAATAATAAACAAATAATAAAAATCTGTACATTGTAAAATTCATTCGGTTTCTATTAGAAAGACATTATTTTACTTACGCAGCCATTCGTATGTTTTTGGTTGTCTGCGATCAGACTAAAAAAGTCCTTGGATGATGGGTGGAGGTGTTGCTGGCAAGTAGAAAGGACAGTCCAATTATTCAAGACTACTTTTAATGTTTATCGTTGTTTCTTTATTAAATATAATAATAATAAATAATTAATTATGAAGTATAAATGATATAATAGATTAAATATAAAGTTTCCTTTATTAATACGTATTATGAATGTACTTCTTCCTTTGTTGTATAATTAATAAATTCTATCTTAACATACATTAAATTTCTGATAATAGTCGTATGGTTGATGCCGCGCCTTTATTACGTCGGTCTTGTCTTATGTATGACTTGCTTCAATATATTTTATGTTTTCACTATTGTTTTATAGTCACTAATATGTTATTAATAATTTATATAAATGTCACTATTTCCTTCGTAGATTATTACTTAATTGATTATTAATTATATATATTGTTAAACTGTAGTTTCTGTAGATGTAGTCGAAAATATATAGTGCGTTTTATAATGATTGTGTAATTGTTAATAGACCGAGGCAAACTGAACTGTTGCTCGTGAAGGGCAGCCCTTAAATATTATCGCACTATTTCTCTCGTAGATGTTTGTTACCATAACGATATTGGTCGTGAGGTCATAATGGCATAGCCTGGAAAGTTCGTTGCTAGTATTTTGTTAAATAACTGTTATAAAAAGTTTAAATAACTGAATTACGCATTCATACCTCTCCCACTCTACATTTATTATTTGTTCATGCAACTGTATGTACGTATTTGTAACAAAATACGTAATTATTTATATTTTAATATATATATATATATATATATATTAAATTATATATTAAATATATAATTTAGTAATATCAAATGAGTTTTCAATGACATTGTGTATTTATGATTCAATCAACAATAGCAAACTTATTAACGTTCAATCCATTAATTTAATTTATTCTTGAAGTATATACAATGTCGTATACATTAATCACACTTATCGTATAAAAATAATTGATTGATTTGTATTGGCTTCGTTATTATGTGTAGTGTATATCGGAAAATAGAAAGATTATAACTTACCTACTTGGTAATCTTAAACAGTATAAGTTGAAATATAAGCATGATTTTTTCAATTTCACATATATTTTTTAAACGTGAAAAGTTTACGTCTCATTTCGGATTATATTTATGAAATTCGAAATAATTTCAATTGGTATATTGGGTTTACATTCATTAATAAATATAATAATTAAATAGTACACATCAAATTATTAATGATATAATAAAGTATGTGCAAACTAAATTAAAAATATAATTATAATTTTTTATTTTTATTTATTCAATGCTTTCATTCTTATGTAATAAATAACAATTTTTACTTTATGCATTCAATATCGATGATTTCCAAATTAATTTTGTCAAACTCTATAAAAATGCAAATTAATAACAGCTCTTGTTTATCAAAATAGCCGCAATTTTATATGGTCAATCAATATCTTAAAAAGAATATTTATAATTTAAAAGTAATTTCATATTTTATATTTCTATTAAATTTTCTAATTTTGTTGCCTGCGATAAAAATCTAAGAAAATATGCATATCTGCGGAAATAACAAATTTTAATAATTAACACAAAAAAAAAAAAACGAAATTTAAATCAACAAAACAAAATTACAAAAACTTTTATAAGTCTATTCATTTTACATTGGCAAAACGATTATTAATTTAATTAATAATAATGCTTAATTTTTGTTACAATTTTTATTTTCTCTACATTAATTTTACTTAATTACTTATGCTTAAATTAATTGCAATGTGATACTTATCAACTGTACATTATTTTATTACTTTCAAATTATAAAATAATTAATTTACAGTATTATATTAATCTCTTATAATTGAGAAATTATAATAATTATTATGAACTTTACTATGTACGAACATGTATGTTATTAAAAATTCAACAGAATACGTAAATTTCTGCATTGTATGCTTGCTAATACAATTGTATTCTATTCACTTAATAAATTTACATACTTTAATCAAATTCTCAATATTCATTTTTAAATTTGCTTGCTTTAAATATTATAATTATAGCACATAATTTTTTTTTTTGTAACAAAATAAGATGTTTGTCTAAAAATAAAAATTATTTATTTAAAAAATGATATTCTTACATTTAATAGTAAATTATTTTTTAAACTATAAAATTGAATTTATGTAAAAGAATTAATTAAAAGAAACTATAATAATTAGTATAACAGGAATATCGACAAAATTATTTATAACATTGTATAGAAATCTATTTTATTAATCAATCGATATAACTAAATGTTGGAATTAAAATAAAAACATAGTGAATCAGTATGTATTATTATTGAATCTTCTTTCTCATGAAATATAAATATAACATTTTCATATCCACCAAATGTACTGGTTAAATCTACAAATACAATACGCTTTTATGCTATAGAAGTATAAAGAGCCCTGAGGGAAGAATTTGGTTAACTTCTCCTTTCTTCAGCGGATAGTCAAATATCAAGTTACAAATATAGTATTAAAATTATAAAATGCAATTGGCTTGTATTTTCAATTTAAGTAGTATTTCTAATTAGGCAATTGTAACAAAGTCCCCTGGCCAGGTGGTAAATATATAACTTGACGAGATCTTCCAAGTTGAAATGCAATGTCTTCAGCTGCTTCGATTCTTCTAAGTTCAACAAGACCATCGCCAGCTTCTCCGAGTGATTTTGCTAACATACTGGCGGCTTCTGCATCACCCTCAGCAGTAATAATGGCTGCTTTTTTCTGTTGTTCAGCTTTTTCTACAAGAAAACGAGCTTTTTCTGCTTCTTGTTGCGCAACTTGCTTCAATTCAACAGCCTGAGTAAACTCTCTACCAAATGTTAAATGTGTCTAAAAGAATATTGAATACAACTTTGTTATATACATTAAATAATAAATAAATAGTTTATACGTTTGATATTATATTTAATACGATTAAAATAAGTGATTGAAAATTATTAGATACTCACAATAGATATATCATCCAAAATAACGCCAAACTGACTGGCCCTTTCGGTTAATTCTTCACTAACTTTTTGTGATACAAGCTCCCTTTGAGTTATAAGTTCTCCGGCATCAAATTGTGCCACCACTGCCTTTAGTACTTCGGTAGTAATAGATGGTAATACCCTTTCGTCATAATCTATGCCAAGAATCGTATAGATCTTTGGCAATGATTCAGGCACTGGACGAAATAGAATACGTAATGTAATATTTACATTTTGCAAATCCTTGCTTCCAGTGACAACTGGTACATTTCTAGGTTTTGATCGAATGTCGTATAAAATTGGCCGCTGAATCCAAGGAATAATAAAATGTGTTCCCTCACCTACTACATTATTTTTTATACCAACAAATCTGTCAAAAATAACAGCTCTGTAACCACCTTCAACTAAAATAATAATAATATATTTTTTATCAATAATAGATGGTAATAACGTAAGTTAAATAATGTAAACTAAAATATCTTATAGATGCAATAGTATTAAGTATAATTTAACACTATGTCCTACGTGTATTAGTTATATCATTATTCTATCGTTAATAAATCTAATAATACTACGATGAAATAATTCCTAAAAGTAAATGTTTTACATATTTATTTCATAGTGTTATAGAATTAAAAATTCGGGCTTAGTATTACTAAGGCATAAACGATAGGATAGAATTTTCAATTAAATGTAATACAAATAACATTTACAAACCATTATATAGGGCTGAATTTATAACACTTCCAGCAATGGCAACTCCAAGGCCTAATTGACCTAGTCTATTGAAAAATGTTACCGACATTCTCTTACACTATCACCTAAAACATAAACCAAATTAAAATTTGACATAATGAAATATATATATATAAATAAATAAAACTTCTCTCTTTTCATCACGTTACTTAACATAACCTAAAACTCTATGATATTATAATATAACACATTTTCCTGGCCTAATTAAATCAAAGCAGATAAAATCTTAGAATAAAAATTTAAATAATAATACCGAAAGCTAATGTTGAAAATGATAGAAACAGTAAATGAAAAGCGCTTAATAAATAATCACCGTTTTGACTGCCAAGTTTACGCAATTGAAAGATCAATTTCCACAACTTACTTCTCAAGTTCTTATATTAATAATCTTGATCTTAATAAGAAATGAATAAAATATAACTATATTTGTCCTTAAAATCCTTATTAATAGCTCTTATATAACACCCCGATTGATTTATATAGGCTTAACCTTTACCACTTTTTGTCCTCATGCGGTTCTCGAGTAAGAATATACGGATAACCAGATGGGCTCGAGGGAGGCTGAGAGATTAGAAATTACGCTGTTAGAGGGCGAAACTGATTGAAAAGCAGTGTCTCCCTCTACGTTATGTGCGGCGAAAATTTTTCGAACTTTTGAAATCCTTCGATTCTCGTAGACGAAAACGAAGGAGAAAACGTCGCATGGACGTACAAAAGCTTCAGATGTCATTGGCTTACGAAAGCGCGCGTGGTACGACTGTTCCTCCGATTAGTTAACCAAATAATAGGAACGCGTACGCGCGTGGGATGTTACTCTGCACAATCTTATCGCATACTTTCTGAAAGTGTTATAATAGATGTATCGCAATAAATGCTTAATAAAAGATAATCGGTAATGAGAAAGAGATGCGAAATAATTTATCTAATAGTTATTGACAGCCATACAAGTCAATAGCCTTAACCGATATTCATTTTAAATTATGAAGTGCCTAAAAGTCATAGATTTATCTGAAAATTTCGGCATCCAATGCTTTGGCATTGAAGAATAATAATCATCAAACGAGCTTAATGAATGTCAATAATTCCCATTTTAAATACCGATTACAACTAATTATTTAATAAGTTGAAACTAAGTATCGGACTACGCTGAGCGATAGAATTTCTAATGATTGAGGCCATTTCCAAGAGTCTCCATGTATTTATTAAAAATTCTCGAAATTGGAGGTTCGCCAATTTCACTGGGTAAAGATAACTTCAGCTAGTCACTGCTTGAAGTGTCCATTATCGAGAGAAGCACAACCGTGTAATTTTATTATAAAAATTCGATCGTTAGAACATCATAATCAAATCCGTATTCTGATGCAAACATATACAAATACACGAATAACATATTTTTTGTTTTGCTTTAGGCGCACACCAAAGTATTGCAACTAACGAATTAGTGAAGAAATCATTTGAAATATCTCTGCTGTGTAACTCAGCATTCCATCATATCGGTTCATCGCATTAATTGAAAAAGTATTTGTTTCGTATGAGCTGCCCAGTATTTTCAAAATAAATGCTGAATGTACAATTATTTATAATTACTAAATGAATTTTAATTACACCTATTACTACGGAAATAAGTAAATTCAAATGCTCGCTATTACAAACAATAATACAAACAGTATAGATTCGAAGCTCTACTTTCCATTAAAGAAATCATTTATGTTTAATGAAAATATAAGCCCTCCAAAGCGCCAGAATTAATTAGAGTAAATGAAAAAAAATAATTTAGAGTGTTTCCAATTTTACGATCATAGTCTTCAATTACAAAAAAAAAAAAAAGAAAAAAATCGCTTCAATCAAATATCTATTTATCAAACTATTTAACTTCTTTTTTTTTAATTGTTCGATTAAACATTAGTAATTTCAATTTTCATAAATGGAACATCCGTTTCTTGCAACATTCTTGTGTAATAAAATATGTATACATAAAATATATTTAACAATTAGAAAATTATACTTGTATAAAAAAAATTACAGTGTCGATTGATTGTTGCATAATTAACGGAATAACAATGTTCATCTTACGTTGCAGGATATTAGTCTTGTTAAAATCTCAAATTCGACAGCTGCTTTAGTTTATTATTAATATCGTAAACATTATGTAAAAAAAAAAATAAAAAAAAACTATTCCCCCTAAGTTTTGTGCAATTCGTTCAATTATAATGAAAGATCATTAGAAATTATCTTTGAGTATGTTGTATGTTGTATAATCACAAAAAATGCAATATACTTTATATAAATAATAGCTCAAAAGTAATTCATATATCAGTTATATTAATGAAATATTAAATATCATTCACTTTCGAAAACGATAAGAAACCATTATATATTAATATTAATCGTATTTTAAATAATTTATTTTTCATAACAGCTTCCACGTAGTAGTTTTCTTTTTTTTATAATTTGCAATTATCAAAAAAAAAACTCTTACAATAAATGTTGATATTTATTGGTGTAAATATATAAAGTACAACACCAAAAGCTAAACTATAACTTCACTTACAATAAGAAGTTTATTTTATCCTTCGTATCTTAACTATTTAATTATAATTCGGAATTATAATTCAAAAATAAAATTTAACGCAAAAACGATGCCAAATATACATCAATTAACCACGCACACACACAAGCTTCTATATCGGTGTTACTGAATACATAATAAGACAAATTTACTTTTTAAACTATCGTAGCATAAATAGCGGCGTTATCTTATTAAGTGGTCTTATTGTTAACTTCAATTGTTAATTGTAGGTCATCGTTAAGTGCTTAGAAAGTGATTGAGAAATATCTCTACACAAAGAAAATTACTCGTGAATAAATAAACTGTCTTATTATTTGATGATCGGACTACAAATTTACAAATTATTTATTACATCCTCCGTGTCATTAAAAACAATATTTATCAATAATATAATATATGAATGTTTGAGACCATGAATTTAGTTTATGCAAAATTTCAGTGAAGTAATGAGAAAAGTTAATGATCCATAAACATTCATGATGTTTATGTACGAAGCAGTTATAAAGAAAGAATAGAAAGAAAAAAAATAAAACACTCCAAAGTATGCATAATATATTATGTATAAGTTGAAGGGAAATGATTTATTTATATGCAATTAATTTTGAGATTAAACATGCAGAATGCACATTATTAAAAGTTTTTATTAAAAGTATAGAAATTATAATAATGAAAATGTATAGAGTTGGATATGTCAGATATTAGATATAATAAAAGATTATATAATTAATTAAATTATTTATTAAACCGATAGGATAAGTAAATTAAGAAATGTCGGCTTTATTAATATAAAATTTGATTTCCACCGATATTAAAATTAAAACTGAAACTTACTCTTCTTTGGTAATTGTATTAGTTTGACTAATGAAGACGTTTTATCTAAAATTTAGTTAATTGCAGGATTTTCTCAATTTTCACAGACTGTAAAGTTACTAATTATTTTAATCATAAATCTTACATCTCTTCAAACACACTTAAATCTTTTTTAAATTTTATTTAATAACCATATTATTAAATAACAATATATTTATTTTTATTATACTGAACAAAATGTAATGCGCTATGCTACATACAAAAAGGCCATGTAATAATATAAAAATGTTTTCTTTCGTCGAATTTCCTTTCTGCTTTTAATTTACTTTATCACTTAAAATACTTTTGAATTCCACATTGAACTATAAACAAAAATTTACATATAAAACATAAATAAGATAACATAATTTAAGAAGTTTTTTGTATCTTAAATGATAAATTAATTTTATTAAATATAAAAGTATCCGCATTATAAATTTAAGACAACTTTTATGCTTTATTTCTTGTTTTATTAATGATAATTTTATCATTACACTAATTTTATATACTCTTATTTTATTTTTATGATTTGCTATGTGCGTGAAATGTTTTATTACAAAACCTATGTATGCCATTTTATTTCAGGATGTACTTCTAAAGTTAACAATTATTTATTTTAAATATTAGATGTTGATTGTTTAGACAATTTTTATCTCTCATTATAAAATATATATCTATTTTTCTGCTATTTTTTGTTTATCCAACAGCAAATATCAATTGCTGGCATTGCAATTTTTAATAATTTAGCAGTACTAATGAAAATACAAGTCAAATTGGATGTCTTCAGAAATTGTAGCTTTATGATTTCTATTTGCTTTTTTTTTTTCAAACTATGAAACAAAAATTTTATCTTCAAACTAAATTATTATTATTATTCTTACATTACATTAACAGAATTATAAGTATATTATATAATTACTTAAACTATGTATTATAAAATATTTCTTATATATTAACATAATTTCTCGTGTTATGAATTTAAAACATCAATTTTATTGTAATTATAATATACAAAATCCTCCAATATTGCATCTTACAAAACTAATAATAAAATTAGCATTTTTATGTGTGAATTAGAAATATCTTTAATGATAAAAATGATGATGATTCCGAACGTTTTGGAGAATGAAGTATAATTAATATCATTTAGTAGTGAACAATACTTATAAATTTTAAGGAACTGTTTATATTTTATTATGATATAATGAGGTACATTAGGCAATAATAATAACGTTAGACTACAAAATAATGAAACAAGGGATAGAGTTTATCTACAAATTTTTAATGTATATGTAAAAAATTTACAAAATCTCTACTTCTTCATCATACTTGTACAGTTATATTTTTAAGGTGATATTTTACTATAAAAACTCAACATTCATTATTATATAAATATTCAATAAGATAAAAAATTTCTCTTCGATAGGCACTAAAAATGAGAAAGTTAATTTCAAATTAGTTGTTGAATTTATCGCCGATAGCGCTTAAGTCTTTTCTATTTTTATTTATCAAGGATAGTACATTTCTCCTTTTTGAAAGTAGCCACAATCTGACAGGTTATTGGCGCCAATAGCTCTATAAAATCTGTATGAAAGATTTTTATTATTTAAAAATACTGAATATATAGAAATATTTAAATAAAAATAAGAAATTATATCAACTCCATTTGAGATTATGAAGCTGAAAGTTAAGAAATCAATTACGAGTGGAGTATGCTTTTTATTTTAGAATTGAAGAAGTAAATGTACATTTTAAATTGAAATGCTATTGATTGCCGAAATTTATTTAATAATGGTAAATGTATATTAAAGTATGTGTGGATGCATAAAATTTATGCAACAGTAACATTTTACAATTACCTTACTATTTTATTACCATTTTCATTTGAAAAGAATATACCCTATTTGACTTTGTATTTCAACAAAGTATTAATGAATTATTATTTCAGTTTTAGATATTAATAATATCCTAGGCAATTGAGAGCCTGAATTTCATAAAAAGTGAATAAGATTATGAATAATTATATCAAAATTTATATCGGGTAATTTAAATAACTTTAGAATGAATTATAAGTCAAGTAACAAGTATAATGATGCACAAAGGAATATAAATAAAAATAACAATTATGTTCCATTAACTAAAAGAATGCGACCTAATAATTTAAATGATTATGTTGGTCAGAGTCATGTCATTGGACCAAAAACTGTATTATACAATTTATTAAAAACTGGTGTGATTCCAAGTATGATAGTATGGGGACCTCCAGGTTGTGGAAAGGTAATATATATCTCAAATATTGAATTAACGAAATCATTTTCCTATTAAAACTTCTTATTTAAAAAAATATGTTTTATAGGATGCTTTGGTTAATCTAATCATTGAAGAAAATAAAACATTGTGTGATGGATTGATAACATTGATTGAATTATCGGCATCAACTGCTAGTATTAACGATATCAAGAAAGCCGTTAAAGAGGCAAAAACTACATCTAATCAGACGATAATCATTATGAATGAAATTCATAAATTTAATAAACTTCAGCAAGATATTTTTCTTCCACACGTTGAAGCTGGTACATTTATTTTAATTGGCATTACAATTGAAAATCCATTTAGTTTAAATTCGGCGTTACTGAGTAGGTGCCGTATCTTTATGTTAAATAAATTACAAAAAGATGATTTAATTTCTATACTGTCTAAAGCTGTAAAGTCCATAAATGGAGAGATAATATTAAAAAGTAAAAATGCAACTGAAAGTAACGTTACAACTTCATTTTTTATTGATCAAGAAGTTATTGTTTGGTTAGCGGAAATGTGCGATGGGGATTGTAAAATAGCGTTAAATGGATTGGAAAGTGCCGTTGAAGCCAAAGTATCTAATATCGATAAATCTACAAAGCCAATAAATTTAAATATAAGTGACATAAAATGTTCGCTAACAGCAATCCAAGCTACAAATAATAAACAGAGCGATAATATTTATCAGATGCACTCTGCACTGCATCATTGCATAATAGGAGATGATGAGAATGCTGCTTTATATTGGCTCGCAAGAATAATGGAAACTGGTGAAGATCCTGTTTACATTGCAAAACGATTGGTTAGAGTAGCGAGTGAAGATATTGATTTTGATGATGAAGATGCAGTATGTAAGTTATCCATTAGTATTTACTAATATTTATGCCGATAACTTTGAAAATTTATCCTTGTTTAACTAATTTTTTTATTTTTATATTTTTTAAAAAGTCACTTCAGTAAAACTATTGCATGTTTTGACATTTTTTGATTGGGATGTAAAGAAAGAAAAAAAAGAATAGACAAAAGGGTTGGTTTTATTATCGCTTGTAATTATAAGTGAAAAAATGTAGTTATCAATAGTATTTTATTTTTAGAAACTGAAGCTATATATCGATAAACAATATAATAAATTTATATCTTTTACTACAATAATTGTTATTTAAAATATGATATAATATAAAATAAAATAGATTTAGTTGATTTTTAATTAGGTGTAATCGATTTCTTCATATCACCAAAATATGCTACGTCTAATAAATGTTTTAGCCACAGCGATTCATACAATGCAAGCATGTCAAATGATAGGAATGCCCGAATGCGATGTATTTTTAGCGCAGTGTGTTGTATATCTATCGAGGGCTGAAAAATCAAAAGAAATACTAAATGCGCTACAGGAGTCAAAAAGTATAATTGAAAATCATAAAGGACCTCAGCCAAAAGTTCCTTCATTTATAAAAGCCAAGTTGGAAAAAAATAAACTAGGTAAGTAATAAGTTTCATATTTAAGAAAAATGTGTGCGGAATAATCTAATATTTTAATTACAAATTTGTAGGATCGAATTACGAGGACAAGGAATATAAAGAAAATTTAAATAAAAGTTATTTACCCAAAGGTCTGGAAGATGTAAATTTTTTTTAAAGTTCATTTTCATAAAACAAAAGAATTTTTCTTGTATATAATGTAAAAACTAGATTGTTAAGAGTTGCGAGTGAGAAGTATTTTGAAAATATTTATAATTCATATTTATAAGAACGAATGCAACATGGTATTATTTAATAAAATAAAACAAAAACAATTAATATTTTAAACTTTTTTAAACATAAACTATCGACGTTAAACATTTTTTGTATCATTTTATATAAAGCAAAAAAAAAAAGGGTTTTTATATTTCAACAAATAAAATTAAATGCAAAAGTTGAGTTTAAATCAGTTCACGAATATGTTTGACTATCAATGTCAAATTGTTATGTCTACGATTACGAGTCAAAAATCTTTCTACATTTTTAAATTATGTTTTAATAACTTCAAGAATCTGTATATATGGCATATAGGGCAATAATTTATATTATTGAAATAATAAATATTTTATGAACAAACAATAAAAACGCTTGTAAAAAATTGATAGATAAAATATTTAGCGTAACAAATAACCATTTAAACATTCTTTGATTGATTGGATCTTAAAATTTTGTCATGTCACGACATTTTCATTAAAATATTGATTAAAAATTTAATTCCAATAAAAAGAAAGTGAAAAATAGTTTTCTTTCATTGTATATTACTAAAATTCTACATTCAATATAATCATTACATGTCATTCAAATATCTTTTCAGTCATATATTAAAATAGGAAAATTCTCATCAAAATGACTAATAACTATCACTCTTTTTTTAATACAATTATCAATATGATTTTTAATATTGTTTCGTAACTAATTCTTATAAATCAATGCACAACTAATGAAATTTTATGCATGAATATATGATTTAGAGAATAGGAAAGAACAGCGCCATTCGTGACAAATAAATCATATATTTTCAAGGTCATTTCTTATTAGCAGTGGATTAAACACAAACTTAAACAAAATTGCATAAGTGATTGAATGATTTTTTTAGATTGGTTAGTAAGGAACAAAGAAGTGGGAGATAGGAAAAATATCAACTAACGTTGACTAATTTTTCCGGATTTACCCCTGAAATCGAGATTGCAATGAGGATTAATACAGTACAGTACAGTTAACCTCAAAATTCATCCGATCGTTCATTGCTTCGGAAGTTCAAAATTATTGTTTTAACAAATCTCAAAATGAAGGTTTGGATGTCCGAACACATATTTAAGTGAGTTTTATCCTTATTTCCACATAAAATTGACAATTTCTAATTGTTTTGATTTGTTGTTCGATTATTCACATTTTACAGTCGCTATTACGAAAAGTTTTTCCACAAAACTGAAAATGAGAAAATCAAATTTTAATATTTTATTTTTTAGTCATCCATGGGAAACAGTGGCTTCAGCAGCGTGGAGAAAGTATCCAAACCCTATAACTCCATCCGTACTTGGAACTGATGTAATTGATAGAAAAGTTGTTAATGGTGTTTTGCATACGCATCGACTTGTTTCGAGTCAGTGGGGATTCCCACGATGGACAAAGCCAGTATGTATAAAGTTCAATCATTTTATTTACAAGAATTACAGCTTTAATAGTTGACAATTTCTAACCTTTAAACTGGACTATTTTTAGTGCAATTATTTATGCATTTTATTTATCTTACATATTCATTTGTATTGTAAAAAAGTATATGTGGTACAATATTAATTTGAAGTATAATTTATAGTTAAAATTAAAGGAATTATTTTGTTAGTCGTTTTGGAATAAACAAACAAATCATCATTCTAGCATTGCCAAATACACTGAAATAATACGTTATTTCATCGGTGAAAAGATTAAAATGTAAATTTTCCAAAAGTACTTTGAATCTAAATAAGTTTACATTATGTATAAGTAATATTATTATTATTATTATTATTATTATTATTATTATTATTATAAGCTTATATTATGTATTAGTAATATTATTATCATTCTGAAGTAATAAAATGAAATTAACTGATATTATTATAACTAAAGTAATTTATGTAAAATAATTCTTTTAATTACATTGATAAAATATAATTTATAGAGTATAGCTAATATAAGCAAAAATATGTAACGTCCTATAAAATTGTAGATCAATAATCTGAATTTCTTCTGAATTTGAATATTATAATTACATCTAATAGGATATTTGTTGTTATAAAAATGATATCAGTTTTTTAGCTTATCTCATTCTTTTTTGAGTTGAAGTTTTTGAAATATATTGACAAATACACACATATAAATTTTTTTAAATTGAAATTTGAGTAAATGTCTATAATTAATATATTATTACATTGTAATATATATATATATATATATATATATATATGTTAAATACATCCATTAATGAATGTGGTTTTAGTCTAATTAATATATACTAAATTATTAAAAAATTCTCTATTTTATTTTAAAAAATAACAATATTTAGGATGTTCAAAGTAATTTAATAATTATTTATTTATTAATAATATTTATTTATTAATAAATAAATAATTTCTATTATATTATTAAATGTGCTGAATTTTGTTAGAAACAATAGAATGAAAATTTTTTATCTTTTTATAAAATCTTCATATTAATTTCCATAAATCATAAATTTTGATGTTTAAATGACAAAGCTTCATTTTACAAATACAACTTATGTAACAAGGAACATATGTATATATTTATATATATGTATACCATTTTAAATTTCTATTTAAACTTATCGAAACTTAATATACATTTCGTCACCTCTGTATACATTATTAACATTTATATAATATACTATACTATAATAATTATGAACGAAACAATTATTTTTATATTTTTCTAAAACCTTTAATTAAAACGAATGTAGAGTATCAATTTTATATTTATTTTTATATATATAAATATTGCGCTGATATAATAATTCAAAATTTCTTTATATTTGTAACAAATATTAATATAATTATGTTGGAAATGAACTTTTATTTCATAATTTAATTAAGAAATAATTTCTCAATAATTCATAATGAATATATATATATATATATATATATATATATATATTAATAATTGTATATTATAGCTCTATAATTGATCATATTAAAGTGGTAAATAAACTTCTTTTCAATGAATACTTTAACTTAATATATTAAAGATAACTTTCATATACCTAATATATGTGTGTACGCATTTGTATGTTAACATAAATCTTTTTCAGATTATACATAGAATGCTAATTTTTTCTATAATTATTTTACTTTTTATTTCAAACTTTTATTATAATTTCAACATTGTTTCCATTTATTTTAATATACAATATATTTAATTTATGTACAAAATAACTAAGCAAAGATTGCATTTTAGTGTATTATTTATTATTATATTTGTACACAGCAAATCCTTTTTAGATTCAATATTAATAAATTTGAATCTATTGTTCTCCATTGTTCTTTATAGAGTATTAATTATATGTAAGCTGTTTTTTCAAATAAAAATAAATTTGAAGCTATGTATTTTAGTCTTAAATAAAATCTTATTAAATATTTTGAATTGTAGTGAAAGAAATTGCTATGAATTTGTTTATTGCGTTTAACAATTATTATATATAAAATAATATTGAGTATAAAAATATATTATTTTTATTTAAAACTAATTTGCACAAAACTAATTTTGTTTTTGAATAACATGTTTTGTAACAATAAAATTAGGCCCATTATTATATTATAATTGATAATATTATTGCAACAAACGTTTTAAATCACCTTTAGAAGCTATTAATGAAAGTTTTTATTATTAGTGAATATTTTATATATTTATATAATGAAAGATTGGTTGGTTTACTATTGAATAAATATTTTGCGTTTGGAAATGATATTTGAAAGATAAGAAGCGCAATGAATAATGTGTAATTCTTCAAATATATCTATACAAATATTTTTATACTGTATTTATAGACACGATCCTTTTTGTAAATTTTCTAAAGATTCTTATTCATATTCAGATATCTCATATTTATATCTTTCTCTGTTATTTTTTACTCTTACTCTATTCTACGTTTTCTCTTTACACTTTCTGTTTTCTCACATTGACCTTGTTATTAAAATGACATTAAAATGATTCTATGTTTGGATTTGAAAAAGAAAAATCCATGCGAGCTTCTGCATATTAACTGCATTCATTATGCTATGACTTATACGCATACACAATTCAATATTAATTCCATTCCATTCATACTTTATTATTTTATGCTTCTAATATTGTCCTAATTGTGAAGCATATCTTAGATAATCATATGAGCTATAGAAGCTGTATTATCTTTAAATCAAGAGTGTTCCCTTGATTCTTAAAGTTATAACAGGCAGAACCTAAAATGTTAAAATTTCGATGGAGATTGGGCGACAATATTTATTTTGAAGTGTAGAGGTAAAGAAGATCTTGTGGAATGTCGTCGAATTGCAAACAATGTCGTCGCCATTGTCGTTAAGGGCCTTGATCAACGTTCATAATGAGCGTTCTCATTGTTACGTCACTTGGCTGTATTCCAGAAATGTCTATCAGGAACTTTCGTTACTCGTTCTTCATTTTATTGTCATCGTACTTTGCTCCCTTCGCAGCCCAACATCTTGTTTTCCTTTTCAATCGAGATTTTCTTATACATTTGTATGATGCCTCTCCTCGTTTCAACCTCGATATAACTGTGCACGGATATCGCCAAAGAAAGAAAAATGAGAAAGAGTAAGAGAGAGAGAGAGAGAGAGAGAGAGACTAGTTCTATTTCTGTGTAAAAGTATTTTGTATAAAGTAATAATGTCTTTGCAGTATTATCATTATTCCGTTGAGAACTTGTAGGAAAAGAAATTTTGTGGACTATTGACATACACTCCTCTGCAACTATCTTGATCGTTTTGGTCAAACTTGAAAATTAATACGCAGTAAAATTTATTTTTCATTAAACATTTTTTATTATATACTACTACTTATTTGTTTATCTTTTTTTTTTCTTACACTTGTATAATTAAAATTGTTATAAAAATTATTTTATATGTAAGTATTATCAAATCGTAAAATGTAAAACAATCAATTTTTTAATTTAATAAATTAATGTTTAAAGCACGAATTAAATACTAAATGTAAAAATTTTTTAATTTAATTTTTATTTATTCTTAGCTTAGAATAGGTAAATGAAAGAGTGGAGTCATGAAATATGATTAATATTTCTATTTCACTCGACATTTTTAAAGAAATGTTTGATCATACTAAAAAACTTCGTAAAAATGAATATTTTATTTCAGTAAACCGTTTTCAGCCCCTTGATCTCAGTAGCGTATTGCAATAAAAATGTTGATTTTTGCTATAAAATATTGTTGTTTGATGACTAGAATTCATATGACATAAATCTTCATTGCAATGAAACAGAAGTTTATATCAATTTATTCAGCTTATCTATATCCCGAATATCAAATCGTTACCAAATCAATCCGTTTATATTCTTAATTTATTATTTAAATGAATAATGCGATAAAATGTTAATCTTTTTATATGTAGATCGGTGTTATACATGTTTATGCAGTATTATAAAATATATTCGTTAATTAAATGTAGAATATTAATAAAATGATATGCTTAATAACTACTTGAAAGTGAGTTGAATTTACGGTTGAATAAAGCAATTTCTTTTTTCTTCTCGAATAATATTAATGATAGAAAGCAGTATTGATTTAAAACGTAATAAATCTATAACTTTATGATTTTTCTTTATTTATTTAAGCGCATTATAAAATATTCATTGTGTAAAAATATCATTCAAGTAACGTAATAATGTTTAAAAAATATTTGATCCTACAAGTACAGTGTATTAAACTAATTATTTCAAATTATTCATACCAATTTCTATTAATAACAACAACAACAACAACAACAACAACAACAACAACAACAACAAAAATATATATTTTTTGCATAATAAAGTTAATTGGGATAGATTAGTAATATTTTAATTAGTATAAGTGTTATGTAATTTCAAAATTTACAATTTATAGCTTGGAAAATTAATTTTTTTTATTTTCGGAGCTCTGTCGGTATATAATGTATATTAAAGTAAATTCATGTTTACGAGACTATTGATAACTTCATTTTTGTTGCAATATAAAAGTACTAATTCGAAAAAAAAAAATATATAATTGAACAACTTTGTTGATCTAATGGTGTTCTAATTACTCCGTTTTTACTATAATTACTGTTACTAATTGACCAATTATTTTCAAATTATTCAACCCCTCATATCTTGCTACGTACAATTCTTTACCGTAGATTGCATGTAAATTCGTCTCTATAACAAAAAATATAATGCGAAATTAATTCAGTTATTCAGGTTAGCTTTTGGAATTCATATGAAAGTATTCCGTAAAATCAATTTTATTTTCATCCACTTCATTTATAACGCGATAAAAGTACGGTTAATAAATATCGTATAAATGTGTTTGTTATAGCTATTAGGCGATACCAATATTTGTTATGCCAGTGAAAGGAGTGAAGTCGATCCAGGTAACAGGCAAATGGTGTTAAAGACAAAAAATGTAAGTATAAATATTATGTGTAATTATATAATTTAAGATATTTTTAGCTTCGATTAATAAGGTGCTCGTATGTATCAGATTACATTAAAGAAAATGTAACTTTTATATTATAAATGTAAAAATTTATTTTAATATTTTCATGCTGCACGAACATTATAATAAAATAAAATAAAATAAAATGCTTAATTGGCTTGATTTTAACACGTTTTATTTGAAAGTATTTTCAAAATTTAATAATGTTATATTTTCATATCGATAGCCAATATTATAATTAAAAATTTTTTTTTTTTTAATATTTTCATTGATTATTAAAGTCAATTAATATTGTTATTATTTATGTTTATTTTATTTTTGTTATTATTATGTGTTAGTATTATGTTAGTATTAGTATTTTGTTATTATTTGTAATTATTTATGTGTAAATGAAAAATCTTAAGTAAATAATGAATTCCAAAAAAGTAATGGAAAGTTACAACTTATTCATTCAAATTGTATTTGTTGATGCTTTTAAAATCAATAAAAATTGTAAGTTTATTAATTTAAGTTTATTTGCATTATTATAATAATGATAACATTTTCGATAAAATGACGAGGAAATTACTTGATTTAAGTACCTTTCATTATGTAATTATTATTCACTATAAAAGTAAAAAAAAAAGAGTAAAATATCATTAGATATTAAAACTATCAAAAGTACACATTTCAATGTAATACAAAGAATCATAACAGAATTTCATACTGATACACATTCGAATCATATTAATTGTTTTCCACATTGATGCATTTTATTATTAATCTTTAATGTGTGAGTACAAATGCAGCTTTATTGTAAAAATCAAAACTTTAAACGTGACGGAAATTCTCGTGACAAAACTTCTTTACAACTGGCATCTAAAAGAAATAATGTAAGCCTGGCTACAATGGGTCTATGATTAATAAAAACGGACAGGTAATTCCTCGCGAGTGAACTCGGTTGGCGCATTCTACCAAAGATTCGAACGTGCATCGTCCGTGGAAGTACTACACGAGTCCATCGATATAAAATTAAACGTCAATCGCCGTGGGGAGAGGGGTGGGTAGGTGGACATGTACATGGAAGCAATGCCCAACACTGCGCTGATGCACTGCATTTTTTCTCGAGATTAATACCGTATCTCGTTTCGGGAGGCTCTGCGTTCAAGCTGGAATTCTCTACTCGAGCGTGGATAGACAGATAGACAGGGCGTGCCGGTAAATCTGTCACGCCCTAATTTAGCCGGCGGAACGACGGCGATTGCGGTCCTTTGTCGTCTATGGTGGCAGCAATCGAGCGAATATTTATTTACTGAGGGTAGCGGCGAATAAATGATAAATGGAAGGACGAGGAGTTGAGAAGGCGAAGGGTTGCTTGTTCAAGTCACTTTTTCCAATCATATGTGCTTAGATGCATTGATGGATCATTTGCTTTGCTCGGCTCAGCTATGTCTTAGATATTTTTATATTGATATTGATATACGCGAGGCAAATAAAGAAATTCGAAATCGACATTATGTTAAATTTATTTCTATCTAATATGTGATAAATTACGAGCCGTTGTTACTCCGTATTGTATCAATTTTGTTTTTGTTTTGTTTTGTTTTATTTTGCCCCCCACCTCCCACCCCCCACCCATTAAAAAGAAGGATTTAGTCTGAAAATCAGAAGCTGTATTTTATTAAGAATAAAGTTTTATTGAAAGTAATTTTTTAAGCACTATTTTTTTTTATATTATTATATAATTATAATTGAATTTAATTCTTAACGAATAATTAAAATTAGTATAAATAAAATAAAGCAATTTAAAATATCACACATCATAAAAACTTAATTTATATAATTACTTTTAATTGCATACTTTAGTAATAACATTTTAACAATAATGATATTATATTAGTTATTATTTGTTAATTTAATATCCACTCACAATGAATAAGATTTTATAGATATTTTTTCTATTGGAAAACTTAACGATGATTTATAGAGGTTTTTTCTAAATTACGGTAACTCAATTTTATAACTTTCATGAATTTTTACTTTGAGCGTTATATCTAATTCGATATTAAAAAATTAAGTTCTATCTATTCCAATAGAGTTTACAAGTAATTCAGAAATGCTCAAAATTTAATATCCGATGTAATGGATTGTTTTGAGCCGCATATAAGAGAAAGAGAAAAAAAAGAAGATTTTATGTATCCATTTTTTTTTTGTCAATCTATACATAGTTTGTACATGCAATTGCATCAATCATTAATCTTAAATGTCAAAGCAACATAAATTGATATTCAAATTTTGAAACGTTCGCAATATCTATATGTATAAATATATGGTAAATTTAGATAAACATCGTGAGTCAAATTCGAATGCTAATTCATGTAGTCCGACAGTCACATTGATAGTGACGGTATGTGTGACGGGACTTTTCATAGTTTATGATTATACGCCTTTTGCGGTAATTCGCTTAGTTATTAGCCTTACATACGTATATTATTTACGTTTTTTTTGACACGCTCTAATTCTAAAATAGAAGGCGAAAAAATTAATTATGTTTGATATTCTGTATCAGGCAAGAACTTATTGGAAAGAAATATTAATAAATCAGAATACATGTGTACAAAAGAGTGTTACACGTACACGTCGGCACATATGCATACATACCAAAAAACTATTTAATTAATTTAATATTATGGAATCGATATACGAAATTAATGGTAAGATCAATAAAACTTTTGATTTTATTACGATAACTTAGCGGGTATTCTTTGTATTTATTGTTAATATAGATTTGCCACAGCAGAATTTTTTTCCAAGTATTTCTGGAGAATACAATGCTTTTTTAAAACGGAAGGCTTCACTTTACATTAAGATTTATTATTCATAATGCGTATCTTACGTTTTAATGAGATATACGTTGTTCCATATTTTATTTATCTTTTCGTACTATAAGTAATTGGTTCAAATTTATTGAAAATAAATTGTTGAATGTTTCATTAATAGTGTTCTCTCTACGCGTTCTTCAAAACACCACAAAAAGTAATAATTAATTTACTTCTTCCAACGTTTGCGGATCTATAAATTTGTCCTCGAAAGCTGAAAAAAAGAGCAAACAGACTCGAAAGTCTCAATTTGATGAAATCACGAAGTAGTAATTTTCGTAGGTTCGCCCGCACAAAAACAATAAATTTCAAAATCTATCCTATACCTACGCCTTTCTCTACTCAGATGCAATATGTTATGTTATTGTTTTTATTTCTTGTTCGCATTTTATTTATTATTGACTGAAAGTTTATGTAAACCATGGTTTAAATTATCCAATGGAAACAGTTAAAAATATCCATGAAAATTGTTGATTTTTTTCATTTTCCTTCTATTTTTATTAGCTATTATTTATGATAACTATTATTTATTTATATAGCCACAACAATCGGAAATATGTTGAATGATTCTATAGGAGTTATCATATATTTTTTAACATAAAATAAATAATATTAAAGAGATTCGCAGAATGAATGAAAACGATTTAATATTACGCTTTCATTATTATTATTATTATTTTTTTTTATTTTTTTTTTATTTCATTTTAATCACGAATCATATAATTTACAATACGTATTTTCTTCTTCTTTTGTATAATATTTACATCGAAGTATGTATATTTTAATTTTTCTTAATTTTTAATTAAAATATGTTATTATTATCTATCGATATTGAATAGGGAAACTGAAAGACATATCGTTGAATAGATATTTTTGATTGATTGATATTTAATATAATTAGTTGAAATTATTATTATTATAATATAAATAAAGTTAAATATTTCTATCAATGTCTTACATCAATCGATATAATTTCGAAGTTGAAAATATTAATAAACATGTAATAATTGTGTGTGTGTGTGTATATATATATATATATATATATATATATATATATATATATATATATATATATATATATAATTATCGATCAGTAGAAAAAGTCATACGGAATGATTTCATTAAAGTAGTGTTTAATTTATAAACTCTACTAATGATTTGTATAATTTTTTTTTTAATACGACAATAGTGAGTCAAAATTTACATTCATTTACATAAATAAAGCGAATGAGATCTCGTTATTTGTTAAGAAAACGCTTTAATGCATTTGCATACCCCGTCGCGTCCTTTCTCGTTTCTCGTTTATCTCCTTCTCTTTCGCTTACTTCCTTTGTCTTATGAATGCACTTGCAACGATTACATGCTGTATTTTTGTTTCTTCTTCTATACAATAGATAACGAGGTTCGATCTATATCCATCGTCGCGAATTGTTCTGTCGGAGGATTGGAGATTGTTATACATACACAATGCTATCGATGAACTATCATTTCAGTCTTCCTTGATTCTCGCATCTCATCCAATATACGCTGATTCATTTCCTCGTCTTCCTTTCTCCTTTCTCTAATCGAGCCACCCGTTAGTCCAATCAGAGAGAACAAGAAAACGGTTTTCCTCTGTTAAGTTCCGGGGAATATCGACTAGCTTCCTCAAGTATCACTCGACAGTTCGACCGACGAACGTCGTCGATTCGTCGAACGGCAAACTGACAGAAGCGAGGCTTCGCGCTAAACTAGAATGGAAAGAGAATACATAGAAGATGTCGCTCATTCACTTAATGCTGTCGAATAGTTTTACCGCATTAAAGGACCCAGATCAACAGTAATTACGGAGTAAAATAAGAATTGAATAAAGAACCTTCATTGTTTAAATAAAAAGGGATTATCTTAGGATACATCGATCGTGCTGAAATTATTCGATTAATTGCCTAATGCGCGCACGTGTGAGCGCACATGAATGAATGCTTGATTATACAATTGAAGGCTGTTTGTTACTTGATAATGTTAAATAGTTAAATGGTTCGTATAATTTATAAAATATGTCACTTTTGCCCCCCACCCCCCAACTCCCACCCCAATTGAATCACACAATGAATCAGCATTTAGTGTATT